TGAGGATGCAAAAAGCTGCGCATGCACCTTAGCCTGTGGACCTCAGGTCATGTGACACCCAGGGCATCGCCCGTCTTGCCATGAGCTCGCGGCCTTTCCGTCCGCCTGTGGTCGTGGCTGTGCGGCTCCCTTGTCGCCTCTGCTCTCTCTCGCTGTGGCATTGGGGTCTTTCCGTCCGCCTGCGGTCGTGGCTGTGCAGCTCCCTTGTCGCCTCTGCTCTCGCTCGCTGTGGCATTGCGGCCTTTCCGTCCGCCTGCGGTCGTGGCTGTGCAGCTCCCTTGTCGCCTCTGCTCTCGCTTGCTGTGGCATTGGGGTCTTTCCGTCCGCCTGCGGTCATGGCTGTGCGGCTCCCTTGTCGCCTCTGCTCTCGCTAGCTGCGGCATTGGGGTGACCCTCATCACCGTCCTCTTGTTTCCCAATATCCTTCTCGTTCTCTCTTTTTAAAACAGATTCATCTATTTGAAAGTCAGGGGAGAGAGAGGGCCCATTCAGGGTTCTCCAGCGCCAGTGCCTGCAGTATGCAGATCTGGGGCTGGGCCTGGGGACTTGGACCATTGTCTGCTGCCTTCCGGGTGCATCCTCAGGAAGCAGGATCCGAAGCAGAGCAGCTGGGACTCTGACCGGTGCCTGGCATCGCAAGTGATGGCCTAGCCTGCTACACTGCAACACTGGCCCGTGTGTCCCTGTCTCCAAAGCACCATTGAGGCACGATGCCTTGTTCGTAACAGTGAATACAAGGAACCTTTTGGAACTCTCCCTTGTCCTCTCAGTTTTGAAACCCGGACTTCAGCTAGGGAGGTTAACCAAAAATCCAGAACGGTCTCTTCCTGTACAGATCCAAATTTTAAAGAAATATTTATTTTTACTTATTTGAAAGGGATCAGAAGCCAGGACTCAAACTGGCACCCATATGGGATCAAGTATTTAGCCGTTAGGCTGTTGTACTGGGCCCTCTGTACCCTATTTTATCTACTTAATTTATTGCTAGATTTTTTTTCTCTTAATATTTATTTATTTGAGAGTTATAGAGAGGGGGAGATGAGAGCTCTTTCATGCACTGGTTCGCTCCCAAGATGGTTGCAGTGGCCGGTGCTGGGCTAGGTGGAAACCAAGAGTGTACTGTTTTTTTTTTTTTTTAAAGTTTATTTATTTTTATTGCAAATTCAGATATATAGAGAGGAGGAGAGACAGAGAGGAAGACCCATCTGATGACTCACTCCCCAAGTGACCTCAGCAGCAGGTGCTACACCAAAAGCCAGAAACTTCCTCCAGGTCTCTCACCTGGGTCCAGGGTCCTAAGGCTTTGGGCTGTCTTCTACTGCTTTCCCAGGCCACAAAAAGGGAGGTGGATGGGAAGTGGAGCTTCCAGGATTCGAACCGGCGTGCATATGGGATCCCGGCACGGTCAAGGTGAGGACTTTAGCCACTAGGCCACCGCACTCGGCCTGAGAGCTTGCAGTTTTATCTAAGTCTCCCACTTGGGTGGAAGAGATTCAACACTTGAACCACCTCCCACTGCTTTCCCCAGGCCATTAGCAGGGAGCTGGATGCGAAGTGAAGCAGCGAGGGTGCAAACTGGCGACATTAGGGGCTGCTGGTGTTGCATGTGGTGGGTTCCCAGGTTGTGCCACGACTAGAACTTGCAGCTACCTGTCAGGTGGGTTCAAAGAGAAGCCAGCAGCATCCCCTGCTGCCTCATGGTAGCAGACAGGCTGAGCTCTCTGTTCTTGGACTGGCTGGTCCCATGTGTCTCTCGGCTGAGTGAACCATACTCGCTGTCCTGCCGTCCTGTGATGGAGCGTCAGGTGCCTGGTGTGGGACACTGGGCAGATTGCAAGAGGAAGTCTCTTTGTTTAGGGCTTCCTTGGCTTTGATCTGGGAGAACAGGCCCCTTTTTTTGCCCCTCTCTTTCTTTGCCCCTTTTGTTTCCATTTGACCATACACATTGGAAGAGTCCCTGTTTGCTTCCATCCACCGGGCGGCAGGTAGCCAGGACTGAGTGTCAGTGACTGGGCGGCTGGGCTTTGATCCCGGCACCCTGGCTTGCATGGCCAGTGGCCCCTGGAGCGTGTTCCTAGAAAGAGGACCCGCACTTAGAGGAGGAAGCAGTTGACCACTGGGAAACCTGATCGGACAGCGTGTCCCCCTGGCTGTTTGGCCTCTTTCTGTCTTCCCTCTTCCTTTGTTTATCTGCTGCCTCCTGGGAACTGGGTGAGAATTTAATTATTGGCTCCTGTTACACTAAGCTGGGGCCTGCCCCAGCAGGAGGCCAGATTAGTGTTTTAACAACTGCTCAGGCCTGCCCTTGGTCTGCTGGGGGGCAGTTATGGGAGCAGTGGTGCCCTGAGCTGGTGCCAGAAGGAGCTCATCCAGTTGCCTGTCCCACTCACCCTCATCCAGAGTCCCACACCCTGGCCCAGCTGTGAGTTGATCCTCCCATCTCTTTTTTTTTTTTAATTGGAAAGTCAGATATGCAGAGAGGAGAGACAGACAGAAAGATCTTCCATCCAATGATTCACTGCCCAAGTGAGCGCAACAGCTAGTGCTATGCCCATCCGAAGCCAGGAGCCAGGAACTTCCTCCAGGTCTCCCACTCAGGTGCAAGGTTCCAAGGCTTGGCTGTCCTCCACTGCTTTCCCAGACTACAAACAGGGAGCTGGATGGGAATTGGAGCTGCGGGTATTAGAACTGGCGCCCATATGGGATCCCGGTGCATGTTCAAGGTGAGGACTTTAACCGCTAGGCCACGCATCCTTCCATCTTACAGAGCTACCTGCCTCCTCCCACTGAGAGCATCTGCATACCATACCTGGTGAAACCAGTTCCCAAGCCTCCAAGAACTGGGTTTTGGCCAGTTGAGGGGAAGGGTCTTCTCAGAAGAACACCTGTTTCCAGAACCCCACCACTCTGGAACAATAAGGGTGTCCTCTCCACACCCTGGCCCCAGCCCCCAGGCAGCTCTGCTGGACTTTCTCATTTCGTCCTCCCAGTATTTTCCTGAGTGCACCTGCTCCTTACTGGACAGAAAATCAGTACCCAGGGAGGTTGAGTGACTTGTTCGGAGCACACAGCTGTTCAGCAGGGCTGTCCAGGACTTGAACTCTGGGCTTCTCTCAGGAGACTATCCTGAGGGGAATGCAGAAACAAACAGATGAGGAAGATCTTCCGTCCAATGACTCACTCCCCAAGTGACCTCAGCAGCAGGTGCTGTGCCGATCCAAAGCCAGGAGCCAGGAACTTCCTCCAGGTCTCCCACGCGGGTGCAGGGTCCCAAGGCTTTGGGCCATCCTTGACTGCTTTCCCAGGCCACAAGCAGGGAGCTGGCTGGGAAGTGAAGCAGCCAGGACACGAACCAGTGCCCGTATGGGATCCTGTTGCTTGCAAGATGAGGATTTAACCACCGAGCCATCGTGTCAGGTCCTCTTCATCTCTCCTGTGTTGGAAACGTGAGTTTCCTGGCAGGATAGAACCATCTGGACTGTCCTTGGCAGTTGTTCTCATATGGACACCCTGACTCCTGGATAAGCATCATGGTACCGTGCGTTTCAGCGTCTGCTTGGGATGCCTGTATCCCATACCGGAGTACCTGGGATGCAGTCGAGTCTGTTCCCGATCTGCCTTCCTGCTAATGCACATGTTGAGAAGCAGCAGGTGAAGCTGAGAACTGGGGGCCTTGTCACCCCACGAGAGAACCAGGTGGAGTTCCCAGCCCCCGGGTCCATCTGGGCCCAGCCCCGGCTTTCGTGGGCATTTGGGGCGTGACCAACAGACAGATGCTACCTCTTTTTCTTTCTCGCTTCACTTTGCCTTCCAAATCAGCAAATGACCAGAAAGATCATGCTGATTGCTGAGCCCGGGCTCCAGAGTGGCACGGGGCAGTCGAGCCATGCTGTGCCAAGCATCCTGAAGGTGGCGTGATGCTGGTTAGTACTGCAGGCATGGGTCCTGGATCGCAGGCTGAGAAAAGCCAGGCCACACGTCACGCGTGCCATCACTGACTATCACAGAACTATTGTGCCCTCCTGTTTCTGCCACAGAGGACCTTGGTAGGGGCTTTTATCATGTATGGCATGGGTCCTTTTCCTTCTAGTGCATTAAAGGAGTTGAGACTTCAATTTCTTTCTTTGAATTTTTAAAAAAGATGCATTTTTTTTTAAAGAATTATGGGGCTGATGTTGTGGCATAGTGGGCAAAGCTGCTACCTGCAATGCCAGCATCGTACTGGGTGCCAGTTTGTATCCCAGCTGTTCATTTCTAACCCAGTTCCTTGCTGATAACCGGAGAAGAGCGGTGGAAGATGGCCCAAAGGATTGGATGCTTTACCCCAGAGGGAGTTCTGGGTTCCTGACTTTTGTCTGGCCCAGCCCTGGCTGTTGTGGCCATCTAGGGAGAGAAAGATGTCTTTCTCTCTCCTTCCCTCTCTATTTCTTTCTTTCTTGTCTTTTTCTGTAACAGTTTCAAATAAATAAATAAATATCTAAAAAAATAAATGCAAGGCAGAGTTACAGAAAGAGGGAGAGAGAGAGAGAATCTTTATTCATTAGTTCATGTTCTCACTGGTCATAGCAGCTGGAGCTGGGCCAGGCTGAAGCTAGTGGAATGAAGACCAGCTGGGTCTCCCATGTGGGTGCAGGGGCTCAAGCGCTGGGGTCACCTTTAGCTGCTTTCCCAGGCGCTTTAGGAGGGAGCTGCATTGGAAGTGGGAACAGCTGGGACGTGAACCTTCCCTGGTTGGGAATTGCAGCTGGTGGTGCAGCCTCCTGTGCCACAGTGCTACACCCAAAGTTACTTTTAAGCAAAGCAGTTCTATTTCGTGCTTTGTGAGCACCACCGTCAGGTGGCTAAGAGAATGTTTGAGCCGAAACGATTTGTTAAGATGCCACAGACGATCATTTGCTCCGTGCAGCTGTGATTTGGTGGCGGTAGCCTGCCTGGAAGCGTGGAGAAAGCTCAGCCTCTCCCCTTCTCCCTTCCTCTGGCCTGCTGGGGTTTCCCCACAGGTTGTCAGGTGGTCGGATTGCTGCTTGCCCCTGGCCTGCCGCCCCGGAGAGCCTTACCAGCTCATGGCTGAAGCGAGCGTGGACAACTTCAGCAAGCTGGGCGTGGCGTTCATGGAAGATCGGCTGCAGATGGACGACGGCCTGGTGCCCCAGAAGATCGTCTGTAAGTAACTGCAGAGGGGGCTCTGTCCCAGGGCTGCATCCCCAGGGCTGCGTCCCACAGCTGCGTCCCACGGCTGCGTCCCACGGCTGCATCCCACAGCTGCGTCCCACGGCTCCGTCCCAGGGCTCCGTCCCAGATTTTCATCTGGAGCACTTGAGCATCCGTGTTGGAAGTGTAAGGGCCTTGCATAGTCTCAGCACCAGGCGGTCAGCAGATTCACTTTAATCATCATGATGTTAACTTCATACACCAGTCAGGATTTTTTGGGGGAGGTATCTCTTTGATGATTATTAAATTTCTTTTTAAAGATTATTTATTTGAAGATCAGAGTTACAGAGAATGAGAGAAGGAAGCAGGGTGAGTGATGAAGTGAGAGAAAAAGAGAGATTCTCCATCTGCTGGTGTACACACACACACACACACTCACACACACACACACTCACTCACACACACACACTCACGCACACACACTCACGCACACACACTCACACACACACACACACACACACACTCACACACACACAGATTCTTCATCTACTGGTTGACTTCCCAGATCTATGGAGAGAAAGGGAGACAGAAAGAGATCTTCCACCTGCTGGTTCACTCCCTGAGTGGCCGCAATGACCAGAGCTGAGCCCATCTGAAGGCAGGAGCTTTATCTAGGTCTCCAGCATGGCCACATGGACCCAAATGCCCGGGCCATCCTCCACTGATTTCCCATGCCACACACAGGGAACTGGACTGGAAGTGGCAGCTGAGACATGTACTGGTAGGTAGAGAATTAACCAGTTGAGCCGTTGTGCCAGGCCCTCAGATTATTTTATTGTTTTTTAAATTATTTTTGGTGACAGATATGGCTATCTCTTGAAATTGTCTCTAGCAGTAATTGAAGGCAGGAGCAGGGTGCGGGACATTGAGGAAAGAACCAAGGCATGGAAACTGGGTCAGTAGCTTAAAACACTTGTATTTTCTGTGTCCTTGGGAATGTAAGAGGAGAATCAGATAGTCCAATCCTTGTCATTGAATTCAAGCTCGAGATGGCCCCTTTTTCATTAGGAAATTATTGCAACATAGACAGTATAAAGTATTCTATCTGTGTGTATGACTCAAAACAATTTCGTATGAGCAGAATTCTAGGAATTTCAAATCGGGCTGTGTGCCGAGAGGGGATGTGACATGACTCATGCATCTTGTAGTCTTGTTGGGAGCAGTGAGGAGAAATGCGAGACAGATCCCACAGGAGGGCGTTGCGCCCATTAAACAGGTCTTCCCCTCAAAATGGTTTCTTTGTCATTTCCAAATTCTTCAGGCATAACGAGCACAAATGAAACCATCCATGTAACTATTAGAGATTCAGTTGAACAAATGTGGAGGGTTATAAAGACCTTGGCAATCACCATTCAAAACAAGACATAGAATGTTTTTTAAGAGGTTTGTCTATTTATTTTCATTGGAAAATCAGATATACAGGGAGGAGGAGGAAAGAGGAAGATTTTCCATTCTCTGGTTCACTGCCCAAGTGGCTGCAACAGCTGGAGCTGAGTTGATCTGAAGCCAGGAGCCTGGACATTCTTTTGGATCTCCCACACGGGTGCAGGGTCCCAAGGTTTTGGGCCATCCTCTACTGCTTTCCCTGGCCACAGGCAGGAAGCTGGATGGGAAGTGGAGCAGTTGGGACACGAACCATCATTTGTATGGTATCCCAGCATATGTAAGGTGATGGTTAGCTAATTGAGCTATTGTGCCACACCCAAAATAAGTAAAAAAAAAATTTTTTTAAAGAAATTTAAAAGAATATAAACATAGGTGCAGCATGCCTAATCTGAAATCCACAGTGGTTTAGAAGCTGAAAGGTTTCAAGTGCCTGAAAACCTGCGAGCTCTGTGGGGAAGGTATATGAAGCATCATGCATTTCGTGTTTAGATCTGGGTCCTGTACCCGAGAATTAGGCGCGTGAGAGTATTCCCGACTCCAAAACGTCTCATATCTGAAGCACTCGTCCTGCCGAGCACTTTGGGTAAGAGGTGCTCAACTTGCGTCATAGGCACTTTCGGACACGTCTTTTCTCAGCACCTTGAATTGAACTCAAGCAAAGGTTTTCTGTGTCTACAAAAGTTTTTATTCATAACATGAACGCACGGAGCTCTGGAAATTTATACAAATCACTTAGTGTCCTGATTTGCCATGCGTGAGACCCGTTGTGCATCAGACAGAGCTGAGGTGGGGGTGCACGCGGGGTGATGCTCACATGAGGGGTGGGTGGGATGCAGGGGGGCTCCTTGGCTGCCAAGTGCTGACTGTTGCTCTCCTTCACGCGTGTCTTAGCTGTGCACTTGAGAGACTCCACACTGAAGGAACTCAAGGACAACGCCTTCAATGAAGAGGCCCAGCTGCTGCAGCCAAGCCCCGAACCCTCTCCCGAGATGGAGCCCGCGGAGGGAGTGACAGAGCCCACTGGCAACAAGGACTCGAGTGAGAGCTTCCCTGCACAGAGGAGGAACAGCACCCCCAGGAGTGAGCCTGCCTCGGGGGAGAGCGAGGCAGCGGGGGGCTGCACCCATCACTGTCACCTCCACCTGTCTAGCTGCCACGAGTGCTTGGAGCTGGAGAGCAGCACCATCGAGTCCATCAAGTTTGCCTCCTCAGAGGACATTCCGGACCTTCCCTACGATGCCAGCAGCAGTGCTGAGGGCGCCACTGCTGAGCCCTCCACTGCAAAGGCAGGCAGGAGGGTCAACGTGACGGGGAAGGCCCCCAACATCCTTCTCTACGTGGGCTCTGACTCCCAGGAGGCCCTCAGTCGGCTGCAGCAGGTGCGCTGCGTGCTGGCTGACTGCGTGGACCCCGACAGCTACACGCTGTACCATCTGTTAGAGGAGAGTGCCCGCAGGGACCCATGGCTGGATAACTGTGTCTTGTTGGTCGTGGCCACACAGGAGGCCATCCCCCAGGACCTGTCCCAGAAGTTCCTGGCCTATCTTTCCCAGGGAGGGAAGGTGCTGGGTCTGTGTTCCACCTTCACGCTTGGTGGTTTGGAGGTGACCAGCAAGGGCACGCCGCGGGGGACGGTGCAGAAGCTGGTATTCTCCAAGGCCGATGGCAGCCAGGTGCGGCTCAGCGTCCTGAGCAGTGGCCATGTGTATGAGGTCCATGCCGAGGAGCGGCTGAGCCCTGGCCTGCTCCGGGGCCACCTGCAGGATGCAGATGAGGACCGCTTGATCGTGCAAGTGCCTTTTGGAACCTGCGGAGGAGAAGCGGTTCTTTGTCAGGTACTGGGGTGAGATGGCGTGGGGGCGGGGAGCTGACTCTGCTCATCTTTGGGCATCTTGGGGAGCGAGTGAGGTCTCTTCAAGGGTGGCTGTTGGCAAGTTCTGGTGTGTGTGTGTGTGTGTGTGTGTGTGTGTGTGTGTTTGATGGTGAATGCCGTGCTTCGTTTAGTTTGGGGCCTTTCATGGTAATTTTTCCTTTTTTTCAAAATATTTATTTACTTTTACTTGAAAGAAATAGAGAGAAAAAGAGCTAAAGAAGATCTTCTCTCCTTTTGTTCAATCCCCAAATGGCTGCTATGGCCAAACCTGAACTAATCTGCAACCAGGAACCAGGAGCCATTAACCTCCTCCAGGTCTCCCATTCAGGTGTAGGGCCCAAGGACTTCAGCCATCCTCTGCTGCCTTCCCAGGCCATAAGCAAGGAGCTTATGCAAGTGGTGTAGCTGGGACATGGACAGGTGCCAATATGGGATGCCTGCGCCACACGGTAGAGGATTAGTCTGATGTGCTACCTTGCAGTCCCATTGGTAATAACTTTTGTAAGATCCATTAATCAGGATGGGCGTTTGGTGCAGCAGTCAACAGGCTGCCTGGGAATCCCACGGCCCATCACTGAGTGCCTGGGTTGGAGACCTGACTCCTTTCTGCATTCTAGCTTCCTGCTGACATACACTCGGGGAGGCAGCAGGTGACAGCTCGTGTCACCGGGCCCCTGTGCAGAAGACGTGGGTTGTTTTTCTGGCTCCTGGCTTTAGCCTGAGCCCGCTGTTGCAGGCACCTGGGTAGCGAATTGGAGAGAAGAGGTAGTTCTCTAGCTTCCTCTCTCTGCCATCTGAATAAAGTAAGCACAATTAGTAAGAGGAGGCAGGAAGGAGGAGGACAGCTCGGAAGGTTGGAAGTGACGCCCATTGACTTCCTTGACCTGCAGCACCCTGCGGTGACTGTGCCTGTATTTAACGGAAGCAGCACAGTGGCTTGGGAGTAGTGTCACAAGCGGTGGTGCCCATCTGCGTAACAGGCTGCTGCCAACTACTGAGCTGGCTGCTTCCTTGCTCTGAAAATCACAGTCCTATAAAGATATTGCAGGGAGAGGCTGTTGCAGTTTTTAGGATGTATGACATTGTGGTACTTACACAAGGAAGCAGGGGGATGGGGGTGAAGGGGGATGCTGGGAGCAGGTCCTTTTTGTCTTTTGGACCACTCCTCCACCCCACCCCCCACTTTGCTGTATAGCTTTCGTTCATTTGAGTGAGCAGTGGCAGGGTAGACTGGCCTTTTCCTGCCTGTCCTTTTAATTTCACAGGGCATAGGTCTTGGCTGGTGTGAGGATGTAATGCAGCCAGCCCCCTGTCCCTCAGTGTCTGTGAGTGCTCAGCACGGACCTCAGTTCCGCACGGAGTGTGGACAGTTAGCTGCTTCTTGTCCTTTTCTGAAAGGGGCAGTGTGACCGCTGCTGGCAGGGTGCCTGCATCGTGGCAGATGTAGACATCAGACATCTAGATCTCGCCTTCGCAGGAGGCAGGGGTGCTGGTGCCTTGCTGCAGGTGGCCATGCTGGGATCTAAGGAAAGTCCGTCCTCGCCCCCGTTAGAGGGCCCAGACGAGCGCCACAGCTTTTGTCATCTTTTTAGTAACTTGTTTTGCTTTCTGGTTCTGTTTGGTTTTCATTCTGTAACGCCGTGTCTCTTCCCAGCCCTCGAGTCCCTTTTGAGTTTTGTGATCAAGCGCTCGTCAGAGGGTGTGGGTCTGTCGTTTCACTTCCTTGCTTCCAGATGATACTGAGGCGAAGATGCTTGAAGTTAAGAAGTCTGGACGTCAGAGCCGATGAGCAGGTTTCCTGCAGGGCTGTGAGCCACATGGGCTGTTCCGGAAGTTGCTGATGAACGGCTCTCTTATCTTTTTTTTTTTCCTCTGCGAATATGGTAACGATAGCAACTGTGCATTCTCAGAAAATCCACTTAAAGAGCTGACTTCCTAGAGACCATCTTTCAGTTTTGAAGAGAGGATTTTTTTTTTGGCTTAGCACTTCTACATGCAGACTTGTCCTAGAAAATTGATTCGGCACCGTCGCGAGCTGTTTCTGTTATGTAGCAAATCTGTCGGCCACACCATTTAAATTGACCCCATTTACTATCATAAAATTTGATACTGCAGTGCCCTGCCTTGGGAGGGGGAGAAAAAAGGGCCACCTGATGCAGCTTCACAAATCAGAGCCGAAGGGTTAGAATGTCAGTTTTGATTTTCAGTGATTGTCTGTGACAACAAGGTCGCCGTCTTCTCCATAGGCCTCGTGCGGCCTGCGGAAAACCTCCCCAAGCCCACGCCATAAATATGATCACAGGCTGGTTCGTTTCCTCTTTCCCTGCTCAATTTCATAGTCTTCATCTGTGTAATCAATCCCGTAATGATGGAACCCAGTAAGAGGAGACTGGGCACCTTGGAAGGCCTAGGGCAGCTGCTGCTGCAGGCTGCCGCTGCAGGCTGCTTGATGCCTTTGCCGAGGCGGGCGGTGGGGATGGGAGGGGGAGCTGTTTCAGGGCTGGCTGCACTGATCCGGTTCACAGAGGGAATTACACGCCGACATTGGGACCATCAGATGGAACAGAAGCGCATACGAAGTGGTCCACATGGACTCTAAGAGGTTTGGTCTCTTTGTTTAGCGCAAGGCGGAAGTGTGTTAGGGATCCCTCTCTCACGGTGGCGCGCCTCGGCCAAGGTGCCTTTGACGAGGTCGAGGAAGATGGGCCAGAGGGCACTGATCTCATTTTGTGGCTGGAGATGTTTTGGGTGCTGGCATCCCGTCCAGCTAGTGAGTGTTAGTTTCAGAGGCCAAACTGGGGATAGGCCATCAGTGTGGTAACCAGCCTGGTGTGCCGCTGGGTGCCATGCCCGCTGCGGGAGTCTTGGATCGCATGAGATGGACCACAGAGCCAGGGCCTGCTGTTCCCTTTGTCACTGCTTTCCGCACGGTGTGGTTTGTGTGTGAGCATGGGTTCAGTGCCTTTCAGTGCACGTGAGCTGGCTCCTTGGTGTTCTGTGTCTGGAGTCTGCGCATGCGCAGTCACATACCTCCGCCTGCTCTTGCGCACAGGTGGGCACAGACCTCGGCTCGCTCCCTTTCAGGCCCCGTAAGGCTCCTGTCCAGGTGGTGGCGTGCTAAGTTAACGCAGGACCTGGCTGCTGCTGTGTTGCTTGTGCGTTTGGGAGGGAGGCCCCCCGAGGAGCGGAGAAGGCAGGGGTTGTGGCCCACCTTGCCGTTCCCTCTCCAGAGCCCCTTGGGGACGGGTCTGTCTGGGACCCCTGACCCGTGTGCTGCGTCACAGTGAAGCAGCAGCCTGCAGCAGCCAGGTGTAGCTGGGAGAGCGGGCTAGGCCTGGTGCCAGTCGGCCTCAGCGTGACACTGGGACCAAGACAGACAGCAGATTGGGACAAGTCTTTGGCTTGGTCTGTCGCGCCCACGTGTCTTACCGCCCAGCAGTAAGAGGCAGACACGAGTGAAGCCTTCTGCGGTAAAGTTTATTGCGCGCACAAAGATGAGGAAGAGGAAGGGGGGCGACCCTGGCAGGCTTTCTGCTCTTATGTGCTGACTGGCCCCGCCTCCGCCTATGATAGGTCGGCGTCATGATCACGCAGGGTCCTGGGCGACTGGATTCGTCAGTCTCCAGTGTTCACGTGCAAGCCACGCTGCAGCTCACTGCGCAGGTGCTAGGCTGCACGAAGGTGTGGCTTATCCGGCCGGCGCCATTTTATGTATGGCATGTGGCCAGTGCATACAGATGTGGCTTGCAACATTGGTCCTGCTGTGCGTGGGAATCTAGAGATTTCTGACTGAAGGCTGGTGCCATGCTTTTAATTTGCACGATGCTGAAAGTAGGAAATGCCACATAACACAGGTTAAAAACAAGACAAAACAGGGCAGATGCGCGCTTGTGCCCTGGTGCTCATGCCCTGTGAGCTTGACTTAAGCGAGCCAGCAGTTCTAGTCCATTGCTTCATGCCAAGACGTAGAATGACTTAGCTTAATTAATGTATTTTTTTTTTATTCGAGAGAGAGGGAAGTGGGGGAGAGAGATTGATTGATCTTCCATCTGCTGGTTCATTACTCAAATGCCCACAGCTGCGGTTGGGCCAGGCCGAAGCCAGGAGCTAGAAACAAGCCAGGCCTCTCACCTGAGCGGCAGGGTCCTGAGTACTTGACCCTGACGGCTGCCTGCCAGGGAGGGGAACTCAACATTCTGACCACTGTGCTATGTGCCCACCCCTCGAACCTTTTGGTTGCCAAGTGCTGCTTCTCAAATGTGCAGGTGCAGAATTTAAGTGCTGTGGGTACTTAGGGGCTCACGTTCAAGTTTTCAGAAAGGCCGGCGAGGAGCTCGTGGTGTCTGCAAGAACCTAAATTCCCACACGGCGTGGTGACCTCTGTCTCCCCTTAGGTGCACTTAGAACTGCCCCCAAGCTCTTCCTTGGTGCAAACTCCAGAAGATTTCAATGTGCTCAAGTCAAGCAACAGTTCACGGTACGAAGTCCTGAGAGAGATTCTGACGACCCTGGGCCTCAGCTGTGACGGGAAGCAAGCACCTGCCTTAACTCCTGCGTACCTTCTGCCCGCTGCCCAGGTGAGCTGGCACCTCGCCCGCAGGGGTGCCTTCAGGTGGGGGCAACCTTTACTGGAAATCTTATATTTCCCTTGGTTTTGATTTTTTTTCTTCCTCTTTTGACTTTGCATGGTTTGGAGGACATTAGAAAAGTGCCTAATTGTGTCGGTGTTTGTATGTTCGGGGTGGGAGTGTAGGGTATGGGAATTCTGGCTTTTCCACTTAAGGGGCAGAGGACCCTGCTGTGGGTTAGGCCAGCCGGCCAGCCGGATCTACAGGTTCCATATCCCTGGATTTAACTTCCCTTGAGTCGAAAATACTGGATCCGAGGGCAGGGGCTGGGAGAGGGGAGGAGGGAAAGAATTACTTCTGTATTGAGCATGTGCAAACTTCCCCTGTCACTGTTTCCGGAATGATAGGGCATGCTGTTTCCAGAGCGTTTGCACTGCCTTAGGTCTTAGGAGCCACCTAGAGGAGGCTCAGAACAGACGGGGACGCAGGTGGGGTGTGGGCAGGCACCAGCCATCCGTGTCTTTTGGAAGCGACCATGGATCCCCTTCCCTGCAGACTGCGAGGGATGGCCGTGGAATAGGCAGTCAAGTTTGTCCGAGACCCAAAAATGTGTTTAGTCGCTTTGATTGGGGAACTTTCTCAGTCAGCCTTTGGGTGGCAAAAAAACCAAACCAACCCAAAACAAAAAACAAAATCCCACAATTTTGGTTTTACTTGTGCTGACGTCTGCCACCTGCTGGCAGGACAGGCCTTGGGCGCCCGCTCCTGCAGGCCGGTTGTGTAGGAAGCTGAAGGCGCAGGGAGCTGTGGGGAATGGCGGGCGGCTGGCGGGCTTGCGTGCGTGCGTGTGCGTGTGCGTGTGCGTGTGTGTGTGTGTGTGTGTGTGTGTGTGTGTTTTGCCTGTGACTGATGTCTGCTTGTGGGCGGTTTGCCAGATTCTCCAGGTGTGTGCTCCTGCTAATCCCTCGCTCACCTCGCTGTCACTGTCGCATTCATTCCAGCAAAATCATTTCTGTGGACCCGTTTTTGTTGTCATCCCTGAAGAGGTGAATTTGTGAATGTGGTGACTGTGGAAAGGACACCCCTCAGCACACGTGTTCTTAAAAAAACATTTACTAATTTGAAAGGCAGAGTGACAGAGAGGGGTGAGACAATGAGAAAGAGAAGTGTCTTCCATTCTGTGGTTCACCCCCCTCACTAAGGTGGGTGTTTGGGGCTGGGCCAGGCTGAAGGCAGGAGTTCTTCAAGGTCTCCCACATGGGTGGCAGGGACCTGACCCTTTGGGCCATCTTCCGCTGCTTTCCCAGGCACATGAGCAGGGTGCTGGATCAGAAGTAGATCAGCCGGGGTTGGACTTGGCATCCCTTGTGGGATGCTGGCATTGCAAGCAGCACTAAACCGACAGCACCACAACGCCAGCCCGAACTACCTTTTAAAAGCAGGACGCATTTTCTTTTGGGTTCTGTCTGACCCTTGGCAACCTCCGTGGGCAGAGGAGAGTAGAGCTGAGGGCTCTTGGGCTGTGAGCGGCTTCCTCGGAGCAGGCAGATTTTGGGGTGGGAGACCTCCCAGCACGGTGTGAGGACTAGATGAGAAGGGCGTGTGACTGTTCTGTCTGATCGTGTTATGAAATGACAGTGCAGTTATCGCAAGGCAGTTCAGCAGTGGGCTGCGTTAAAGGTGCATCATGGGCTTGGTACGGTGTAAAAAGGCAGTAGCTGATACAGTTAATTTTCTATTAACTTAAGCAATATGGCAAGGGATTTTTACCTTAAACATTGTCTTTATTGGAGATTTTCTGTTTCTGTGTCTGTACTGCACAGTTGAAGCTGCGTGGTGCTGTTTTTGATGAGCACCCGTGGGAGTCCGTGCTGTGACTGCCACGTGCACCTTTGTGGTTGTGGAGTGTCATGTTGCTAACACTGTCTCAGGAACTTACAGCTCCAGGTCACCTCTCTCTGCTTCTGTATGAGTAATTAATAGAGAGAAAAGCACCATATTTAAAAAACTTGCATTATTGATTAGAGCGACAGAGAGAGACAGGGAGAGACAAAGAAGAGAGAGCTTCCATCTGTGGTTTCACTCCCCTCATGGCTGCAGTGGCCAGGGCTGCGTCAGGCTGGAGCCAGGAGGTCCTTCCTGGTCTCCCATGTCGGTGCCAGGAGCCTGAGCATTTGAGGGAGCTGGGTTGGAAGTGGGGCAGCCAGCATTTCAGTGGGCGCTGCTATAGGGCACCAGCATCATTGAATGCAGCGCCACAGTACTGCCCATCCCCCTTGGTTATAACACCGACAGTGTTCAGAATCAAGCCGTTCCTTAGAGCTCTCAGTGCCAGAGGAATGGAGCAGGGCCATGTGGATGTGGTACTGGGCCTGGGGGGCCGCTCCCGCTTGGTCTCCGGCCTCTTGGAGGGGCAAGGCCAAGGCAGGGCTTGCCTGGGTGCGGCTCTCTGCCTGGGAGGTGAGCTGGTCATGTCCTGGTCAGTCCCTGACTGTGCTGTTCTTGGACGCCTGGCCAAGTGGCCGTGCAGAGGAAGGCGTGGCCTCAGGCATTCTTCCTGAGAGCAGATGATTAAAATGCTGGCCTTTTGTGGCATATTCTTCAGGATGCTCCCCAGGCAGGGCTCTGTTCTGTGTCCCCTGGTCTTGGCACCCATAGCACAGGATGCCCTGGGCCCTTGTTGGAATGCCTGGGGTTGGTCCCCAGCTCTGGTGATTCCAGCCACCTGCTGATGCGCACACTGGGAGACAGTGAGGGTCGCTCAAGTCGTTGGGCTCTTGCAACTCAGGTGGGAGACCTGGGTCAGCTTCCTGTGTCCAGCCTGTCTACTGTGGGTGCTGGGATAGTGAACCAGCAGATGAGAGCCCTCCCTTCTCTCCGCCCCTGCCTCTGGCTCCCAAATAAATAAGTAAAAATGTAAAAAGAAAAAAAAAAAACTGGAGCCAGTGCCATCATGTAGTAGACCACGCTTTTCCCTGTGGTGTTGGCATCCCCACATGGCACCAGTTCATGTCATCCCACTAGGATCCCATCCCTGCTTAAGGCCTGGGAAAGCAGTGGAGGATGGCCCACGTACCTGGACTCCTGCAGAAGCTCCTGGCTTTAACCTGGCCCACCCATGCTGCAACCAAACAGGGAGTGAGCCAGCAGATGGAGGACCCCTCTTGGCATCTCTCTCTCTCTGTAACTCTGTCTTTCAAATAAGTAAGATGAATCTTATTTTAAGAATCGTGGGGATGAAATAGACATGATGCAGACATGTGTCGTCTCTGCATAAACACATTTATAAGCACCCCTTAACGAGCCCCTTATGACACAATGGTTTTTGAGAAGACAATCTTCAGAAGTGTTTCCTTCCTGGTCTCCATCTTCCAGTGGACCTTGTTGTTCTTTGTGGGTATCTCTGATCTGGGTTTTTTCTTCTCACTTTTTTTTTGTATATATGTTTATGTGAGAGACAGGGAAGACAGAAAAAAAAAAAAGAGAGAGAACGAGAGAGCTTGAGGTGTTGCCCACTGGTGTACTCCCCAAATGTTGGCAGCCTCTGTGGCTGGGCAAGGCTGACTTTGAGGCCAGGAGGCGTACATACCCATTTTGCAGGAATGTATTCAGAGGTTAGCATCTCAGGTTATAGGAGGAGCATAATTACAATCCCACCCTCCTGTAAATGTGGCCTGACTGCAGAGAACAGCTTCAGTGTAGTTTAGAGAGAGAACTGAGAATACTCTTTAAAACTTTTGGGGTAGTATGTATATATTTTAAAGATTTATTTATTTTTGTTGAAAAGTCAGATTTACAGAGAGAAAGATCTTCCATCTCCTGATTCACTCCGTAAATGGCCACAGCTGAGCCAACCTGAAGCCAGGAGCCAGGAGCTTCTTCCGGGTCTCCCATGCAAGTGTAGGGTCCCAAGGCTTTGGGCCGTCCTATGCTGCTTTCCTAGGCCACAAGCAGGGAGCTGGATGGGAAGTGGAGCAGTGGGGACACAAACACGTGCCCATATGGGATGCTGGCACTTGCAAGCAATTAAGCCATCGCACTGGCCACCAAAATAATCTAATTTGCATTATGGTCAAAATCTTAATGCTCCACTAAATAGATTCAACAAACTAATAAGAGTAAAAGGAGTGTAGGCGGGGGCTAATGATAATTAAATGAAAAGATATTTGTTTCTCTCATTACTTTTAAGTTACTTTTAAGATAATCACAGATCATTAAAACTGTAGGAGTAGATCTCTGGATATTAAAACTACCCCAAATAAGAGAAAATGTGGTCTTTTTTTCCTTTGGGGTCTGGCTTCAAACATGCACTTCTTCACGTTTACTGCTCTGCTTGGAAAACCCCAGGACTTAGGTTCTCACCAAGCGCAGGCTGTGGAGGGGTTGTTAACAGGAGGTGGAAACAGGTGCATGCCTTGGCCGATCTCATCCCTCTGGGGCTGGAAGGCTGGATGGGTGCTGCCCATGCCTTCGCAGCTGTCACCAGCAGGTGTCACTGCTGAGCCAGGCTGCTTGGCGTCCAGCCCCGAGACCCCTTGCAGCCATGGAGAGATTTTATTGCCACCCGCCGTGGCCTTTGTCCTAGTGTACTTCTCTGTAGTTTTCCCTGATGTCGGTGGCGCTTATTCTTCAGGGCTTGTAGAAATGATGTCCGCGTCACAGTCAATAACATTCGTCTTTGGCTCGACACCCGCAGAGTTCCCGAGTCTTGTTACGGTGTGGGGGTATGAAAGAACAAAATAAATACACCGGTTATCTAAATAGTTCCACCGCTAGACCAGCTGTGTTTACGCACGCGGGAGCCCCCAACACTTGCCCTTTATGGCAAACGGCACTGAAGATTTATGAAGCCCCTGCCCGCGTCTTTGTTAGGTGATAGGAATGGAGAAAGGCTCGGCTGGCCCCGTGGAAAACAGCGGGCCCTCAGTGGCCACCCTTGGGGCTGCCCAGGCACCACGGTAGCCTGTCATTCCCACGACAAAGCCCAGTGCTGAGGGGCTCCAGGTGTT